GTGCTGCAGCACCGGCACTTCTAGGCACAGGGGGCAGCTGTCAGGGGGTGGAAGGTGGGGCGGGACCACCGTCAGGATGAGGCAGGCGTCACATGGTTGGGGGGAGGGGGGTGAAGGTTGAGAGCCGGACCCTCACAGGTAGATCTCCCTCTTTGAGGTCTGGCCAGTGGGGGTGGTAGCTGAGTGGTACTCTGCTGCCTGGCTCAGAGGGATCTCTTCCAGACCACAGTCTTTAGACGAGTCTGCGCTCCCGGGGTAGGCACTGCTGTAGGGGGTCATGAACCTCATGTTGGCCACTTTGGACCCGCCGGCACCGCCCGGTCCACGCTCCTCGGCCATCATGGGCTTGGGGCTGCCGTTGGCCATCAGGTGCTCCTGGCCGTCCATCTCCTGGTAAGGCACGAAGGTGGAGAGCTTGGGGGCGCTCTTGGAAAGCTTGCGGTTGGGGGAAGGCTGGCCGGGCATCCAGCAGGAGTCCGAGTGGCCGAACTCGGTGCACTCACGGGTGCAGTTACCGGTCATCGCCACGTCGGGCAGAGGCCTGAGATCTGTAGACACACACAGAGAGAGAGAGGGAGAGGTGTAAAGACCTGAGACACATTCACACTTCCTACTGTTTAAACATTCAATTTAAGACTTTTTAAAACTTTTTAAAACGTTTTAATGCCAAAGGAAATTCAATTTAAGACCATTTTCACAATAAAAACAAAGGACAAAAATAAAAATAAAAACTGGCAGAAACTCATGAATCAAAGTATTTTTAAATGAATGCATGAATGATTTTATTTGTTCGGGACAGTGTACAATTATAACTTAATTTGATGTATTGCACCAGATTTAGCCTAAGACTAATTTACATTTGTAGTCCCAGTTTTGGTTGAAATATTCAAATATTGCAAATAAACCAATTGTTTTAAAACATATTTAACAGTTTTTTTTGTCAAACATAGCAGAAACATTCTTAGCAGTCAGTTTTAAACTTAATTTAATTCCTGGAAATTCTCTAACGACCCACAATTTGTAGTTTTAGGACCCACAGTGGGGTCTCAACCCCAGCTTACTGTAGATGAAACCTTAAAGTGCCTGTGACATTAAATTTTTGTAAGAAATGTGAATACATTTTTGGAAAGACAACATCCATCCATCCATCCATCCATCCATCCATCCATCCATCCATCCATCCATCCATCCATCCATCCATCCATCCA